CCTGTTATAAATTTTATATATACAATATTTTTTTTTTTATAAGAATTTGTCATTTTTATTATTTTATTTTATATAGTATATTTTATAAGTACTTTTATATTTTCGCAGTATTTAAATACGCGAAACTTTATTTCAAAGTGTTAAATTTATTTCCAGGAATTTTCCAAGAATAATGGAAGCAAATCGAAGTACTACGAACGTTTTCTTTTTTCTTTTTAAATTGACTTTCATTATACGGACAAACATACATAAACTATAGACAACTGTTTAAAGTTCATTGAATCAAGTCAATCCATTTACTTTATTGCATTTACTTCAAAGAATAGCTAATTCAAAAACCAATTTTGTTATTGAGCGAGGAATTTTATACCTTTTTTTTTTTATTTTATGTTAAGAAATTGTTTTTTTTATCCGAAATTACAAATGACCGAATATACAATCAAAAGGAAAAATTTTGGCGCAATTTTTAAAATTGTCTAATCAGAAATTATCAAGAAAATCGTGATTGGTAGCAATTTTAAAAATAGCGCTAAAATAACTTTTCTATCGATTATTTATTTGGCCATTTGTAATTTCAGATAAATATGAAAATTTGGCGTTTTAAGAATTCGTGCAAAAAAAAAAAATTGTACAAATTAAAATTCGGTGTATTATAAATTTTGACATTTAAAATATCAAAGCACTTAAAATTCAATTAAATAAGAATTCTGCTAAATTGAAATTCGGTTAAATTAAAATTCTTTTAAATAAAAAGTTGCGTAAAGATAAAAATTCTATTTAAAATTACCTAAAAATTTTAAAATGAATTTTGTCAGATGCTAATTTAAAAATTGAAAATTCGTAAAAAAAAAAAATATTAAAATTGTAACTAATGATTTTTATAAAATCAAGCGCATTGAAAAATATAGCAAATTAAAAAAAAAACTGATTTTATCCAGTAACATTGACTTTGACCTTTAAAAAATAAAAGTAAAAAAAAAGGGGGAGTTATAAATGTCAATTTCAATTTGAAGGTGTGAAAAAATACGCATTGTGTACGCAGGCTACAAAAAAGGCATAAATAACAATTATAGTATATATATAGTATATAAAACATTATATATATATATATATATATATATATAGCGGTACTGTGACGTGTTTTGAAGTTAATGTAAAACTGAGAGTTTTTGAGGGTGGTTGGGTGGCAGAAAGAGAGAGAGAGAGAGAGAGATTTTAACGAGTCTGGTGTGTTGTATTTGAAACACCTGAAAAGGTGTGTTGTATGTATGTATAAAGAGAGAGAGGGAGAGAGAGAGAGAAGAGAGTAGAAATGGAAAAGTGGATGTCTGTGTGTGGAGGAGTCTGGGGCTCCGGTTATATCGACCGTCGTTTGATACCGACTTGCGAAGCCCCATCCTTGAACATGCCTGGGCAAGGGCAAACCACTCCTGCAACCCCACCCCCTCATCTATATCTTTTAACAAGGCAACCTGTGGCTCCGGTTGGTCTACTGTGCTTTTTCCTCTCCCTCCCCTCTCTTTTATTCTCTCTTTCTCTCCTCCACAATGGACACACACGTGGGATCAAGAGAGGTGCTTCTGGAAGTTTATATCTTCTTTTATTTTTTTTTTCTTTCCTCTTTCCTCTATGACATCTAGAATCGTTTTATCTACTCTTTTGGGAATAGGTATTGTCGTCTCTATTTTTGGAAGCAAGTGAGACAAAAATTAGATCCTTAATTTTTGAATAAAAAAAAACAATTTGTCCTAATCGACTGAAAATTAATTTTTCGGAAATGTTAATTATTTTTTTATTTTAAAATTTATTATTTATTATTCTATTTTAATTTAATATTTTTTATTTTCATTTTTATTTAATATTTAATTTTTTTATAATGTTTATAAATATTAATTATTATTTATTATAACCATGAAGAATTCAAGGTTTTTGCAACGTCTTGCGCATTCTGATAATGTCTTGGGTAATTAAAACCATCTGAATATTATTTAATCTCAGGGGCAATCAATTATAGGGATTTCTATCAAGATGCTTTCAAATTTTGTGCATTTAATTCTGATTTTAAAGAAACAAAAAATGTTCTATTTTTTATGATTGTATATTCTGTTTTTAAAAATAATTCTATAAAGTCTTTTTTATGATTGTATATTCCGTAAAGTTTTTTTTAATATAATTTATTTTTTATCCCAAAAAAAATTGAGATGGAAAAAAATGTCAATTTATAGATTTTTCACGCTGAAGATAAAATTGTGAGCTAAAAAGATCAAGTTTAGAACGCAGTTGAAGAAAGTTAATTTAGTTTATATGACACTTATATTTATACAATATAGAGATGTTCCTTGCAAAAGTCGATGTTAAAAAGTTACTAAAAGGTTTTCTGAAAGTTATGACCCATATCTCAGAATGACGATATGAGGCACAAGCGATGTGCTTTCGAACTGAAAACACTTTTTTTTTTTTATATAAACCGCGCGCGTGTACCCATAAGAAAGCAAGAGAAGAAGGTACACAAGTATATAAAAGTTAAAATCAACCTGAGAAAGAAAAAAATTCTTCTTTTTTTTCAAGGTTCATCTAGGTCAGTTTATCCGTTCTCTTTTGCTTTTATAAACATCACTTCCGCTTGCATAGTGTTTAAGAGTACTTTTTAAAAGACCCTTCTGTTTTTCAGAAAAAAATAATATTGTATTTACATAGTGAAAATATTTTTCACTAAATTGAAGATATAAATCTCTCTAAATTTGAATTAATTAAAAATAACTATATAATCTTGACTGAATTTTTTGCTTTAGCAATTAGTAAAGAAGTAACTAATTATTATTTTAAAAAAAAACTTATTATCTCTCTAAATTTGAATTAGTGAAAACTGAGCTTACTAATTTACATTAGTAAGAATTTTTACTAATTTTTAGTAAAATGTTACTATTTTATTTAGTAGTTTCAAATTTTTTTTACTTAAGTTTTAGTAAAAAGTGACTATAAAAATTAGTGAAAATTATTTCTATTTTAAATTAGTATCTCACTTTTTGCTAATTCTAATTTAGAGAGATTAGTAAAAAAAAATGTAACTAGAAAATAACTAAAAAAAAATAGATAAATTTTTCTAATTCAATTAGTTACCAGAAATTGTAGTTATTTTGACATAACCTAATAGTGAATTTCAATTAGTTTTTTTTTTAGTAATTTAATTAGTTAACTTTTTGCTAACAAATTAGTTATTTAACTATACATTCAGAGAAAAGTTTTGTTTGAACCATACATTTTATTTTGTATTAACACAATTGTTTTAGTATTTCAAACAAAAATTTATTTGATTCAAATAAGTATTTGTTTGATCTAAATAAACGTTTATTAAATTTTTCCAACGAAGAATAAATTTAATTGAGCTAAATAAACTTTTTGTTAATTCAACCAAATTTTTCTTTTTTTTTATTAATTTTAATAGTGAATATTTAATATCGATAATAAAATGATAATCTAGTAAAAATTGTTGCAGTACAAAAAAATACGACAAAAAAAATAGAAAAAGATAAATAATAAAAAGTTTCTTTTTTTGATGTAATGAATTTTCTTTTTTTCTTTTGACACAATTGTTTCTTTGACCCTTTTTTTTGCTATATATATATAGGAAGGTCAACTTGTTGCGGTGATTTTCGCCTGGAAAGTATTTTGATAGCTCAAGTTTGAAAATTATAACGTAATATACAACAGAAATAACATAAAGTCCTGTATACCACCTGTTGATTATAAACGCAATACATTAAATAGGGTATCGTATACGTATATATACATATAGTATGTATAGTTTCTCCGCGCACTCTATTTAGACTCATTCAACGTAATTGGATTGTATAAAGTTCAACTTGCCCATCATCGAAAATGAAACCCTCCAATTGGTGCGGAAATATTCTGCAATTAGTGAACGCTTGTTGGATTCTCGTTTTGAGGAACAAATTTGTTATATATGATGAAAATCGATAGTGTCATATACGAATTTTCAAATAAAAACTTGATTCAATTTTTTGATATCTCTCTCTCTCTCTCTCTCTCTCTCTCTCTCTCTCTCTCTCTCTCTCTCGATTCAAAATTAGCGGTGTTATTCATCTCGTAAAAAATTTTTCAACATTTTTTTTTAGTTCACAATTTATTTGGGTGAAAAATAAAAGTTAAAAATGAAATAATATTCTGGAATTTTTGTGTGGAATAAAAAAGATTAAAGACATGATCATTTTCTCACGGGAAGAATACTTCTTCTTCTTCTTGATTTTACATTCCATATATAACGTACTGCTTTAGGCGGACAATTTTTTTTTTGCTCGCTTTTTCTTTTGACCCCATCATCATCTTTTTTTTTCGTTTCACGGTTCCACCTTGATGCTTTTAAGGTGGAGTGTTGAAATAAAACACTCGACGATAACGACGACGACGGATTTAATTAGCGCGATTCAACCTTATTTACTTTATAATCTGCCTGAGGTTATTAATTTATAAAGATAGAATTATTATTACACCATTACCATTCTAAAACATTATTTATATAACGAAGTACAAAGTTCTTTACTTAAAAAAAAAAATTAAATATATATATATATGTTTATAAATTAAATAATACATTATTTTTTAAATTAAATTAGTTTTAATATCGTTTATTATAATTACACTACACAAAAAGAATAATATAATATTCTTGATATAAAGAAAAAAACAAACAAACAAAATAATAATAAATACAAAAAAAATATTATTTAATTTTTTTTAAACATTTAACTTTATATAAATTATATATATAATAATATTTTTTATAATAATAATAATAATAATAATAATAATTTTTTTTTGTAAGTACTTTTCTACAAAAGAGCATGTCCCGTGAGTTAATAAATTAATAATTATAAAAGTCAATTAAATAATTTTTATTTTTAAACAAAAAATATTCTTTTTTTATTTTAATAAAAAAAAAAGAATTATTCTACTTGAGTGTTTTATTAATTATTTTATAGAATGTCCAGCATCTGAGGATGGAATGGAACGTTTCGCGTGTCCAACGCCAGATCGGATGGGAAGATATCGATGTATCGATGATCATGTTCTTTGTGACGGTTTCATAGACTGTCCAACGGGAGAGGACGAAGACAGACAAGCTTGTATGTTCTACAAAACCGTAAGTATCACAATAATTAATTTAAATTAAAAAACGCAATATCCTTTTACGTTTTTATTAGCGTTATTAATTTTGTATTATTATTATTTTATAATTATATAAATAATAATAATAATAAATAAAATTATATTTTTATTTCAATAATAATTTCAATATTATTATATTTTAATTTGTTTATTTATATATTCTCGTACTTGTTGTTCACATATTTGTAAAATAGTTCATATATCATATATATTATATTTTGAAAGGTTTAATTTAAACTCTAATATAATTTTCCCCCTTTGTTCTCATTTTATTTAGAAAGACGACGACGCGGGAATTTCAATTATTTTCTTTGCAAAAATAACTGTAGAGCTTTTATTATTTTATTTCTTATTTTTCATTGGTATTTTCACTTTTTTTTTATGGTTTCCGCATGAATATTTTTGTGAAAAATTTACCAGGAATTTTAAACGTTTTTTTTTTTTTTTTGAGTAAAAAAATTCTCCTTTATTAACTGGAAAAAAGAAATTGTATCTTCATAATTAAAATTCTTGTGAAAATTCCTCATTATACGAAACAATCAGTTGATAATTAATTAACTTAATATAAAGAGAAATGTGGGGAACAAATTTTTGAAATTCAGTTTTACTTTAATGAAATATTTTATATTGTACGTTTATAACGATGATATTTTTTATTCTCAAGCATTGATTAATTATAATTAATTTATAATTAATTTTCATATTAATAATTTCTTTTTTAGTATAATTTTTTAAATAACTAATTATTAAATAAATATTTTAAAGCAATTATCTCTTATAAAATTTTTAGTGGATTTTAGATTTATTTTTACTTATTTATAGTTAAATGAGAGATTTTATAATTTAAAAAAATTATAATAGAATATTATTTTTTGAATAGTTTTCAAATTGTTTCTCTATTAGTTTTTCCGTTATTAACGCAGTGTTTGTTATTTCAATTTTTTCGTTTTCGTTCAATGAAAAATAGTTGTTGATTTTGCAAAGTTCAATTCGATCCACGATAGGGAAATATATTGATGAGAAAATAAAAAAAGAGGTTTTAATTTGTTTACCGGAACTCACGGACGTGTCAATAGTATCTGCATTGAAATGTGAAAGGGTATAGAGAAGACACAATAAGGTGTAGACATTTTTTCAAATGGGGTTAGAAACTTTTGCATTGTTTTATTGAAAATTTCGTCGAGAGAAATTTCCTTTTTGTTCTCTATAGTGTTTCAATTGAAATATATCTATATATTTCTTTTCTAAAGACTGCCTTTTTGTTCGTATAGTTGATTCGATTTATTCGAGTGAATATAAAATTATTTCTATAGTGAATTTGTTTTAAATATATATATAAGAAAAAGGTTTACGAATTAATTTAAATATTTCAATTAATTATTAATCAGTAAACAAAGGAAATTAATATTATTGATGATAAAAAAATTTGAATTTTATATAAGTTCCAATCGTTTTGCAGAGAGGTCAGTTTAACAAAAGCATCAACAATTTATAATACAGATGATAGCAAAAGTGAGTTTCTCTTTCGCCTGGCACAGTTGTCGTTACTGTCTGACTATAAATTCTATTACTACTGAAGTCGGATGTCATGAGCGAGAGTATATAGAACACATTTCTCGGTTTATTATAAATTTATCAAGGTCGAGAATTATATTATTTTAAAACATATTTTCTTCGCACACGTCTCTTTTTTCATTATATAATATTACACAATTATTATGTTATTTGTTATATATACATATATATATATATATATATTATATTATTATACATTATTACGATATTAATATTACAATATTATAATAATAAGTAATAATAAAATTAATTAATTAAAATTATTATTATAAATTAATTATTTCGTGAACTCAAAACACATAAAAAGAATTTTTGAAACGAAGACTAATACAGAAAAATGTTTTTTTATATATATAAAATTCATAAAGGTCTGGTTTTTGCAAAATTAAACAAGTAAAGGGGGAAAAAAATGAAAATTTAATGTATATATATATATATATTTTTAGGGTAACCTATAAGGAGGAAACGAAAAATAAAATATTAATGAATATATATGAGACTTGATATATATATAAAACATTGAGTAAATTTTTATATTACTGTACGTATAACCTTTATGGATAAAGAAAGAAAAAAAAATTGTATACACGTGTGCGCTTTTTAAGTATTATATATAATTTTTTTTAATTTTTGCTATATAACTTTTTTTGTATCGCGATTATTAAACACTGTAAATAAAATTAATGAGAAAACAAATTTTTTAACATTAAAAAAAATTATTTATATTGTTTTTTGCAATTTTTTATAACTTTTTTTTTATCGCAATTATTAAATCTCAGTGGAAAAAAAATTAACGAGAAAATAAGTTTTTCAACAACATCAAAGGTGAAAATTCATCAATAACATACTATTAGAAATATCTTTTATATATTGGAAGTGTTGTTAGTTTCGATTTATTGGAGGTAGAAAAGGTGTGAAGAATGTAAAAGGGGGGTATATGAATTGATAACGAAGTCGACACACATATATACATATATATAGTATATTGATGTTAGTGCGCTTTCATATGTTGATGAAGCTTCTGAATAGTGTAATTTTGCAACAGTAAAGTCGAGTGATTGCGCGAACATATATATATATATATTCACTAGACTCCAGAGAAATCAAGTTCATCGAGAGAGAGCTAACCTTCGAACTGTATGAAACTTGATTACAATACCATGAACAAGTTTTAGAATGTTCCGTAAAGATTTATGTATTACATTCACCAAGAAAATTGCCTATTACAGGGTGAATATTGCCGCGCAGGAGTTTTAGAACGTTTAAAAGAGGTTATATATAATATAAAATCAAAATGAACGGTAGAATGGGACAATAATTTTTTTTTTTCATTATACGTCCAACAAATTTTTTATTTTAAAACTTTTAGTTCTGAAATTTTTAATTTTATTTACCCCACATAAAATTTAGAATTTTAATTATTCCTTATACGACTTTTATTTTTAAGTACATTTTTATTATTTATTTATTTATATTTATTTTAATTTTATTACAATTCATAAAGTTTATTTGGTTTAAATAAAAAAAATTTTATTGAATTTAAAAATAGATTATAAAGAATCGTATAAAAAAAAAATTATCTGCGGGTGTGAGAAAAAAAAAATAAAAAAAAATTGTATAAGAGATCTAAGAAGATTGTTGAGTAGTTTTTCTAGGACCAACTTATTTTCTCCAGACGTCTTCTATCTTATAAAAAAGAAAAAGATCCTCGAGTGTTCAACTTTTATTTTTGATTTCATCTTGAATTTTCTCTCGAAAAATTGTAAGAGCTCAAGAAAATAAAACTTGTTGCCGAGTCAATTACTATAATTGGACGTATTTTAGTTATTTTGATTAACCTAGATTTAGTTTAATTCGTACTTAAATTTTTTTTTTCATTTTCTTTATAATGATTAAGTTTAGGAAAAATAACAATATTTTTAAATTTTTTAAATATTAAATTACTGAAATTGGATGAAAATTATTTCCTTGATTTTTTATTTTACATTTTGGATTTTAAAATAAAGAATCTTATTTTAAGTTGATATGTATCTCAAGTTTTATATTAAACCGAATATGAAGAGAATTGTTTATAGCTGGGAAAAATTGATTTTCAACTAATTTTAACATCATCAGTTTGTAAATAAATCATTTAAGACTTTTATTTTTTTTTTACACTGTATAATAAGAAATTCTAATTTTAAATATAAACACACAATACACCTTAGTTTATTCTTCGACACTGCAAAAAGTTGGTATCTTCTTGGTATCTTAAAACAAGATGTTAAGACGGAAATGGTAACTTCCATTCGCTTCCATCTTAGAATAAGATGGTAATTTTAATATTTAGATGCTTTATTCCTATTATAACATCTTAAAATAAGACACTTTAAATAATTAAAAAGTTACTACCAAAACGTCTTAAAAGTGACTAACAAAACATCTTATATTAAGACACTTCTTTTTGCAGTGGATTATATATTATTAGGAACTTATAATTGTTTTTTTTTTTAAATCTGGAAATGTATTTAATTTTTTTTTCTATAATTGTTTTTAAATAATTCAAAAACTTCATTTTTATAATTTCACGCAAAAGCTATAAATATATATATATAAACTTTTAAAACTTTATTTTATTGATTTATATGAATTATTTATAATTTCTCATAAAAATATTATTGTCCATTTTTACTCTAAACTAAATAATAAAATAATAATTAAAGAAAATTAAATTCAAAAGAAAAAAGTTTTGAAAATTGTAAAAAAAAATATATAAAATTTTTTATGTTGTATTTATTAATTATTTTTTAAAATTTTTTTATTATTTATTATTTTTACTATTTTTTTATTATTCCTAATATTTTATTCATATATAGTTGGAATCCGATAGAATTTGCGTATCCGACAATTACACTGTTCACAGATCACGAATGCGTAATTATTTAATTAGCGTCGACTAGCCTCGCAGGACGTGTTAACACCATTAATTTACTGTTCCCTTCGGCTTGCTCCTTTCATTCCAATATACGCGTTTGCATATAATGTCCCAGGGTCACGTTTCATGTCACGTAATTAGAATAATTCACATTCAACTAATTATTAATGTACAATTTTTTAAAACACTTTTTTTTTCTTTTTTTTTTGTTTTCAGTATTTTTTTTCTTTTTTGTCTCTTCTTTTGATTTTTCACGACATTATCATAATAATGCGATATTTTTTTTTTTCGAAAATTTATTATCACTGCAAAATGCATATTTTTCTGTCAATGTATATATGAGAAGTTCAAAGGCAAAGAGAAATTCATGATGTGTGTGTCGCGTGTGCGCCTCATGTACTTCCATTAAAATTTTACTTTAATTATGTATAATTTAACACGTTTAAATTACGGCAATTCAACTCGACCATATTACCTTCGTTCAGAGTGTGTGTGTGTGAGAGAGAGAGAGAGAGACATGAATTATTTGAAAATGAACGAAGCGACAGTATATTTGATTTAAACCTGAATTGCTATATTGAAGTATAAATTAATCGTTTATTTTCGCAAAAGCTGCTCATGATGGATTTGAAATTATTTTCAGTTTCTAAAATTATTAACAAATAATTGAAAACTAATTTGCAAATTTATCATTGATAATAAATTTCATTAATAAAAGAGAATTTTGCAAATTTTAAATTATTTTCAATTTATTTTTTAATTATTTTTCAATCATTTTTAAATCAATTTTAAATAATTATTGATTCATTTTTTTTAAATTATTTTTTTTTTTTTTTGAAAAGAAATAAATAAAGTTAATCATAATTTTATATTTATTGTTTCATAATTTTTGTTCGATTTCCTGATTTATTATTATTGATGATTAAGTCAAAGATCAAAAACTGTGTATATAAGAAAGTTATAAAAAAAAAATTTTTATCCCTTTTTCTGACGTGTGTCACAAGTAGGTCAATTCCGTTATCTGATTTTTCTCCTGCACTTTTTCCCATACAATCTTTATCCGTGGGAGCGAACTTTAATCAAGCTTTGAGTAAAAAAAAAATGAACAAAAATACTTGTTTCCAATGAAAAAATTTTTTTTTTTCGAAACTAAGTCGATTTAAATTGGTTTATCGTAATTTACACAAAGTTGTTCAATTCTCATATAATAAGAATTTTCGAAATTTTTATATATACTAAAAAATAATTAAATAAAATTATATTATAAATAATTTTTATTTGAATTAAAAAAAAACTTTTTTCATAAATGAAACTTTTTAAATCTGTTTTTTAAGAGAATTGCAAACAAGATATACTGTACACAATCTTTTGGAAAGAAGATATAAAGAGTCTGATATATATACGTTGGCTTACTCATATTTTCGCAAGAAAATTTCCTTTTTTTTCCCCTCTACGTAGATCGACGCTATATACGGGGCACTTTTACTAAACAGGTTTTACAGTCGAGATGAATTTTTAAATTGCCTCTTACCTCTCACTAAAACACATTGTCTCCTATATACAATATCTATAAACTAGTTAGTTGAAGAGAGGAAAAGAGAAGAATTTAAAGAAACTCTTCAGAAAATTACATTGTTAGAAATTTTATTGTCGCGTACATCTTTTCTTTTTTTTTATGAGCAATAATTCCGTGTGTGTTCACTTCTTTTTATATTGTTTTCATTTTATTGAATATTATTTTCAAAAATTTCTCTTTTATCGTATATTAAAAAAGTTTTATTTATTTTTTTATTTAATATATAATTTAACAATAATTTTACAATTATCTAAAAATTATTGTTTTTATACAAAAATTAGAAAAATTATAATAATAATAATAAATTACTTTTTGCTTTACTATCTATAAAATTTAAATAATTATTTTCAAGTTTCCAACGGAGAATTGATATAATGCAATTTTCCACAAAAGATAGGGAAATTTGCATATCTGAAATTAATGCGCGATGCATAAATTCCAGTTAAGCAGATATCGAATTTCATGGTCTGGCCATCCTCAAAATATTATATAAATTTTATAGTGTTTAAGCTTTCTGAAAATGTTAAATTTATATATTCTTTATTAAAAATATGTTTTAAATAATTTTTTAAAAATAATAAATTTGATATTTCATTTTCAATTCGAAAAGAAAAAATAAATAATACACTGAAAAAAAAATTTATTTGATTCAAATACCGGTGTATTTGGTTATTATCAAATAAATATTTACTTGAATCAAATATTTCTTATTTGAATCAAATATATAATATTTGAATCAAATATTTCAGTATTTGAAGCAAATACCATTTATTTGATTCAAATAAGAAATATTTGATTCAAGTAAATATTTATTTGATAATAACCAAATACACCGGTATTTGAATCAAATAAATTTTTTTTTCAGTGTACAAATTTAGAATTTCCTTTTTATTTAATTTAGCGAACTTTTTTTTTTGTTTTATTATACAAATGACATTTTATATATATAAAAAAAAGTATTTTTATTAATATAATAAAAGATTAATTTTGCCGATAAATTTTATATGACACATCCTTATATCTATATGGAACTATAAAATTGAACAGTTGGAATTTTCCAATTAAACATGTTCATTCGATCGTTGGATATACAATGGCACTGAATTTCACGTTGTCATTTCTGTCATAATTTCATTTAAATAAATAACCGGAAAACAATTTCCTCCCGTTATAATTGTCATCCATATTTGATAGGTTTTTGTAATCAAATTTTGAACATTGTTATTTTATTATTTTCGAAGAAAAAAAATTTATTGAATTAAATGTTTCTTTTGATTTAAGTTTAGAAAACATTTTTTTTTTTTTGAAAGAAAACAAATTTTTTTTTAATAGAAACTATATTTATAATCTAGAGAAGGTTGTCTGACTATAAGTTTATTCTTCTACTTAAAACACAAGGATTTATATTTTTTATATTATTGATTAAAAAAAAGGAAAAAATTCGTTTCCCGTATTCGTCTAATTAAAACCATGTTGTTCCACTGAAAAATTCAAAGAACGTCTGTCTAGATTAAAAATGAATCACTTGAACTTCTTAAAAGTCGCGTTTTTCTTCTCACAATAATCAATTTCTTATCTACTGATTTATTTCTGTTTTTTCCGAAATTGGCGTAATTTTTGGAAATCTAACTTTTGTAATATTTTTCGAAAAAGTTGGTATTTTCAAGTTTAAAACAATATATTTTTCCCAGTTATCAGAATAATTCACGTTTTTCTGATCAAAAACAAATTTTTTATAGTATAGAAAATATTTTTTCAAAAAAAAAAAAAAAAAATTTCAATTTTATTTTTATTTATTTATCATTCTTGATATTTCGAATTATTTAATATTTTTTTTATTATATTTGTGTACTTTTATAATTATATATAAAAGAGAAAATATATCCAATATTTGTCTTGTCTGACTAATCACAGTTTGTTCTACTAAAAAACTGACAATGACTAGTTGCGTGTGTGATAAAAATCAAATCTTTGTCTGACTATAAATATTTTAATCTACTATAATTTTTTTCAAACTTTTTAAAAGAATTTCAAGTAATTTTAATTACACAGATTTTTTTTTAATTTTACAATTAAAGAAACTTACAAGCAATCTAAATCTAAAACAATATATTCATTTATGAAAAGCAGTAAATTTTTATTTGTCTGACTTAAGCTCGTGCTATACTACTGAAAAGCGTATATATATGTAAAGTCTGACCAGATTAAAAATGAGTCCCTTTTTCACTATATATATATATATATATATATATATATATATATATATATATATATATATATATATGTGTGTGTCGTGTCTGACTCCGATTATCCTTATCTACTGATTTGTTTTTATTTGCTTCCCCCGCGAACGGGAATTCTCGGGCAAAAGTTTTTGAGCTCATATATTTCCACCGATTGGGTCATGAGACTAATACTTCATCATAAGTCGTTGAACTCGATTCGATCTATGCTGTGTGTCCTACAAATCCCCCGAATATAAGAGTCGCGCAGAAAGCGAGGAAGAGCAAATTTTTAAAAAATTCTCTAGTGTAGAGAATTTTTATTACTTTCAAAATAACCACTATTTTATATACTTTTTTGATCATGAGCAGTAGTTTTAAAAAATAATAAAAAATCTCACGCCATAAAAATAATTTCGAATTGTAAAATAAATAAACAAAATTTTTCCTATTTTTAAATACTATAAATGCGAAAAATTCTGTTTATTTATTTTAAATTAATAGTTTTTTTTTTGGGGGGGGGTAAATTGTTTTTTATTTTGCTAGAATTGTACATTAGTTTTAGTCAGAAAAGTGTCATTTAAAAATTCTTTTCCCTATTTCTTTATTATTTTTATCTGTTACTTCATTTTCTTCTCTTTCCTTTTTTTCTGAGTTTATATATCACGGGTAATTAATTTGTTTCGTATATATTTCTCCTTGGTTTTTTTTTCCCCCACATTTATGTATAATATATATACTCTCGCAATTTATTTTAATCGTGCGCTTAAAATAATTGTTTATTATTATTATAGTATTTTTATTTTTTAAAAGTGAAAAATTAATTTTTTTTTTTTATTAATTCATTAACTAATTTATAACAATAAAAATGTCGGTGTATTTTTAAATTAACATTATTAACAACAATTTAAAACCTAATGAATCCTATTAAAAGATAATTGCTCAATTATTCCATTGAAAGGAAATTTTAATTATTTTCCAAAAATTAGCAAATTTTAATCAAAACGAGTTTTTAATTAAAATTTCATTATATTATTAATTAATTTAAAATTCTTTTTTAATAGACAAAAAGTATTTTCTTCTATAAAAGAAAAATATACAGAGAATTAAAAAAAAAAACACACAATTCTTGAAAAAAAAAGAAAGCACTTGAAATCTCTACTGTTTATTCACGGGCTGTGTGATTAAATTTTCATACTTGAAATATATATATTAAATATACACTTGAGAAAGTTGCATTTCCATGATATTTTCAAGTAGGTCAAGCAGCGCAAAAATATATTCGAATATTGAAGATAATTTTTTATTATTTTTCTCATTTCACAGATAAAAGCGCATCTCGATGTTTTGGCGGATGCTGTACTAAGATGGGCGAGAGGACGTTAATATATCCCTTCGTGACCCATCCTCATTTTCAGCCTAAAACTTCATAAATCTGATAAATCGTTCTTAACTCCTTCTCTCCCTCTTGTTCTCTCCTTAACGATCCATTCTCTCTCTATATATATATATATATATATATATATATATATATATATATAAGTTTTTCTTCCTCTCCCCCTTTTACCCATTTTTTATTGCCCACCTTCATCATTTCCCATTCCCTCCTATAACTTTTAAGCTCGCATCATCTATTTTCTGCGCGCCACGCCCTTGCAAGCACCGTTTCTCAAAAAAAAGTGGGACTTGAAGAAGATTCAAAAAAAAAAAAGACGAAAATAATAATTGTCATTCTGGAATTTTGAAGAATATATTGCAACGAGGCTGAAACTCAAAGTGGTAAAGTCTGAACGCGTTTGGGTTTGTAGAATATTACAATTCTAAATGCGAATTTAGTAACGTAATTAGGAGATCAAAGACAGAAAAAAAAACTTCATAAAAAAAGTATATATATATAAAATGTGACATATACACACTGTATATTATTTAATTAATTAAACCTTCGTGAATAATTTCTTTTTGTATAAAACAAAAGAAAACAACACGGAAAAAGGTATAGAATATTGACTTTCAATCTGTTTTTTAGTATAATTTTTCATTATATTATTAAACCAAAAAAAATAGAAAAACTTTACCTTTTTCGGTTTTTCAAATTAAAAAGCGATTTATTTTTTATTATACAGAAAAACCAGTTTTGTGTATAAATTAATTTTTAAAAAAAACTGTTAATTGTGACTATATATATATATAATTGAGAGTTGACATTTAACTGCGCTTTTAGAGCGATTAATCTTTAGAAATGAATTTTAGAGCACTCACTATTTTATAAAAAAAAAAAAAAAACATATATAATAATAAAAAAAAAATGTTTTCTAAATTTTCTCTGATTCAAGTAGATTTTTTTTTTCTCTATTAGTTGATGAAGAGGATTTAAAATAGAGTGCTCCGAGGATCAAAAGGATTAAAATGAAGATTATTCACTTTGCCTGATTTATTAATAATATAATTGTTTATGAAAATTTTGCAATCAAGTTCTAAGTCTTTGAGCACCTCATATTTCATTAATGGATAAATTCCTTCATATTTCACTGAATCGAACATTATTTCAGTTTTGATACTCAAAAAACATTAATAAATACACAAAATAAAAATTTTATTTCAATTCTAATTTTTAATTTAGATTAATTTAATTGATTTATTAAATTAATTTATTAAATTAATTTATTGAATTAATTTATTAAAATTAAAAATTATGAATTATAAATTAAAAATTAAAAATTAACATAATTTCATTTAAGTGCTCGTGTATTTTAATAAGGTTGAAGGAGAATTATGAAATTGTTAATTATAATCGTGTCGCTTTTTAGAGTATTTTCCCTTGATGAAAAATTTTTTTAAAAAAGACGCTTTTTTGTATTTTTTTTTTTTTTTTTTCATCTCAACTAACACTACATTGAGATTTAAGTGGGCGAGAAAATCACGTCTTCTGCGAGTACGTGGGCTAATACTTTTAAAATTGAGTATGAATCTCTTTATAAATTAAATTTTTTTTACAGCTATTTCCGAAAAGATAATCTCAAACGCCTCAAGGCATGAAGACCAAGAATATTTTAAAACCCAAAGGGACTATTCCCGGTCTACATAGAGTGTATGAGATTATTTTCCTGTATAAAAAATATTGGTTTTATTTTAGAAATTTTTTTTACATTTTATCTCAAATATTTTTTATTTTTAACATTAAATATTTTATACATTAATTTTATCTCTTTTTCTATTATACAAAAAAGCAATTTTCATTTAATTTTATAAATTATCAATTTTAAATTTTAATGCAAAAAGAAAAAAATATTTTAATTTAATTCTGTATTTTTTGTGTTTTGTATATAGAAAAAAAATGCAAATTTAAAAAAAAACCATGAATATATTTTAAAAGCATAGAGATTTTTTTCAGATTCATATTTATTCGAAAAAATTTGTTGTTTTCGATTTATTTATTTATTTTTTTTTTTTATTTTATGCTCACGTACTCGTTACATTTTGCTCGTACAAAAACCAGAGATGTAAAACCGCTCGTTTTCATGAGTGTGTTCTCAAAAAAATAAAAAAAAAAATCGTATTTTTCTCACAGACTGTGCATTCTTCTATATAGAAAAAAAATTACCATTTTTTAAATAGAATAACATTTCGATAGTATATTTTCAAAACTAGATAATTTTTTATTATTCATGAACGAGTGATTATTAATAAATATATATATATATATATGAATGAACTGCCCTCCACTATCCATATAATTGCACTCTTGTAGTAAATATATAAATGTAAAAATCAAAAGAAGAAAAAAAAATTGACAAATTATATATTTTCACGCTTTCAATAATAACAGAGAAATTAAATTTTTATATAGAACATTTTTTATTACATATAGAAGTTTCTCTTTTCTAACAAAAAAAAAAAAAAAGAAAGAAAAAATATTTTCATACGTTTCTGCATTCTTTGTTATTGCAAATTAATTATTAATTCAAATTAATAATAATTATAATAATGTACATAGGTTTAATTAAACTGTATAAAATAAACAGTTTAATGATAACAAAATATCAATTACAAAAATTTAATAATACAAATGAGTAAACGAAATTTGTCAATAAATAATTAAATGATCCATTAATGAAGATACACTGGAGATAAAATTGAATTTTTTAAAATTTTTATTTTTTAAATTCTACTTGAATTTTTTTGTTTTTATTAGAACCCTTTGATTTGTTTTTATTTCAAATAACAAAAAATTTAGTTCGATTGAAGTAAATAATTCCGGCAATATAAAATTTACAAACTTAATTAACTTTTTCTTTTAATTTCAAAAAGAAATGATAAAAAAAAAAATTTCAAATTCCGATTATCTTTACAACTATTTTTTTAAATATTTTTATTATAAAATAATTTTTACATTAAATTTTTTATTAATTTTGCTTAAAAATAAATTTTATTAATTATTAATTCATAATTAATTCATATTAATTAATAAATTAATTAATTTAAATTAAATTAATAATAATTCATAACTAGAAAATTAATTAGTATAATTATTTGAATATTTTAAAATAATTTTTTTGAATTTAAAAAAAAAAGTTAAAAATATATAAAATTAGTTGAAAGATATTCGATTTATTCGTTTATTGCCGTTGTTATATATATGTGTGTGTCGACACGAAGAGTAAGAGAAAAATGTTGGATTGGAAAGCGTTAAAGCTTTTTTATATCGCATGCAAGTAAATTCGATAGAATCGAAGTCATTCCCATTTTTGGCAGACTTCCTTATGAATCAAGGTACACGTCAAACGTTCTTCTCGTTGGCTGGTCGCCAACCCTTCAGCGGAAATATCGCCAAGTCGAGTCCCCATCAATCCCTCCCCCTTTTTTTTCTATATTTCACCAGTTACATCAACCCTAAAAGTAGATCAGACTGTCTTTGAAATTATATTTATATATATATAATTAAATACTAATATTGATATTATTAAATATTAATAATATTAATATTTAATATAATAAATTATAATGTATAATTCATTGAAACGAATGTAACATCACCCCTTTTTACGTAATTAATTTTTTGAATGACGTCATATCTGGATGTTATTGATATAATTATAATTTTACTGAATGCCATGGAATTATTTTTTCATTCCCATAATTACAATTGAATTTCAATAAAAATTTAAAATGTAAATATTTTATTGAATAAGAGTAATTTTTAAATAATAGAAAAATAATTTTTTGAAAAATAAAATTATTTTTTTTATTATTTAAAAATAAATTGATTTTTTAAACTCGAGAAAATTATTTTTATAAACAAATAAAAGCTAAGAAAAATTACGCGAATTTTAGATAAAATTTTTTTTTGGTTTACTTTCATTATTTTTGCACACCAAGTACCTTAGATATACGGAATATGACGTTTGCTCTACTCAGTTCATTAATTTTCCCCGTTTTTTTTTTTTTTTTTTTGTGGCACTATCGATTGAATATGCAAAATAAGACGATAAAATTCCAAAGCAAGTTGACTCTAATGCAACATGCACATTGCATTTTATCGATTTATAAATTCCCGAAGAGTTTCATGTGACATCTGGTCATTGTACTTTTTGACCTAAATACGTAAATGAAAATTTAACAAAAAATTGTTTTTTTTTTGTCAATAATTTTTTTTTTTTATTTTTATAAAATCAAACCTTTTTTTGTAGCAAAAAATTTGTTTGTTTTGGTCGAAATTGAAATAAGAAGTTTCTAAAAATATTTAACGAAATTTTTTTATTTGCAAAAAAAAATTTTGCAAATTTGTTTATATAGGAATGTGAAAACAGGAGAATTGGATCAATATCAAAGACGAATGAGTCCAGACGATTTCGGTCAATGACCCTATATATATATACTGTTTTCCACTCTGTGACTCACTACGAGAATGGAGATTCGAAAATTGAAATTGAAAATTACATTTAAACTAAATTGGTGTCTCGCGTGCTGCAGTATACCTAAAAAGTGCCAGTGGATTTATCAAAAATTTTTTTTTTTTTTTGAAAAGTTATGAGACAAATTCCATGAATTTTTCCCTCAGAGGATCTTCTATTGCAGAAAATTTTTCTCGTTGAAATGAAATTTGCAATGAAATTTTTCAAAAAATTCCCAATTTTTTCTCATTTAGAGAATTTGTTTCAATAAAATATTTTTAAAAATCTTGTCTAATTTTGGAACATCTTTTATTTAGAAAAAAAGAAAAATCCAAATAGTACTTGGTAGTGAGCAAAAATAATATTTTATGGCATTCAGAAAATTTGTATGCATTAATATTTCGCCTCGGGAATTCAATGAAAAATGTCATTTTATTATTTTTATATATATATTCACAGACGTGTAAAATTCACAAATCAATTTTTAAATTGAATTTATATTGAGTGTGCATGAAATTGTTTGCAAAGATTCACAGATAAAATTAATGTCTTGTTTATCGGTTTTGGCGCAAGTGTCAACATTTTTCTCTCATTTTTTTTTCTTTTAATGGTTGAAAAATTTGTTGGAAAAATAGATTTTAATAATAAAAAGTGAATTAACGTCATTTTTTTTTTTTTAATATTTCTGATAAAAAGAAAAACGTATTTTTCATCAAGTTTTCGCTGCCTGGAATAATGAGAGTTCTTTTATATAGTTTCCGTTGCCTATTTCGCTCAAAAATATACAGACCGGGAAATTCTGTAGTGCAAGCCTCTTACTTTTCGTTACCGAGGAGCCTTATTCCTTGAAACTTAATAACGAGTATTTACTTCCCTCGAACGATATTTTCTGATAATCCACTTGCGAAAGTTTTTTTTTCTCTCTCTCTCTCTCTCTCTCTCTCTTAAAAAGAACGCTTTTCTAAATTGCAGTTATTTTACAAAATTACTTTTCTTTATATAATGAAATTATTTTATTTTTCAGCAATATTAGAAATAAATAAAAACTGAAAATTGCAAAAAAAAAAAATACATTTCAAAGAATGTAGACGTGTGGAAATAAAATCTCAAACAAAGGAAATTTATCGAAATTGATAATTATATTTTTCCATTTAAAATACTTTGATTTTGAAAAAAATTTATTTCGAGGGATATTTTTTTTGTATTAGAAAATAGTTGAGAAAAACTTTTCTCTGAGTAATATAAAGAAATTTTTTTTTTTAAATTATCCGGTTGATTTTTTTTTCTAAAAAAAACTTTGAAGGAACTCTTTAAATCTAAAAGAGCATCTAAAGTAACATTGAAAAACTTATTTGAAATCAAAGAAGTCGTATTCTTGTATCGAAATTTCTCTAAAAAGTAAATAAAAATTTTTCTATAAATAAAAGAAGAATCAAAATTTTTTATTTTGATTCAAAATTCTATTTTAGAAATGGAAAACTATTTTCCAAAAACCCTGAAATTTGAATAAATTAATATTTATTTGTACATATAAATTTTTAATCATTATCAAAATTTTGTCAAAAATGATTTAAATTTTTGATAAAAAAAAAGGATTGAAAAAAAAAGTTGGTTTGTAAATAAATTTGTTCCTTTAATTTTTAAAAAATGAAAAAAAAAAAAAAAACTATAAAATTAAGAAACTTTGGCGATATAAGGGGGAGAAACTGTATATAGATATAGATAATAGAAATAAATATAGATATTTATTTGGTTCAAAATATTTTCATGGAAAAAACTTTTTTTCTAAGATTAATTTTTTCACGCTTTTCAGTAAATGAAAAAAATTTTCGTAAACAAAAATTGAAGAATAATAATCTAAATTTTTTTTTTTTTTTAATTTGTAGATTTCCTGGGAAAATAAATAGCACAAAAGATTGTTTTGAAAGTGCGCGATGTTGTGTGTACCAAAAAGATTTATAGGAAGTGTTATAAATCCTCTCC